TCAAAATTTTACTAATAAATTCTAACTTAATATTCTAAATTATTTTGTTATTTATATAAAAATATATTGAACTGAACATATTCATGAACTTTGAACTGAATCTGAACTGGGCTAATTTAAAAAGTTCAAAAATTGAACAGAATTAAATTTTAGTTTTTAAAAATATTCAGTTTAGTTCAGTTCAGTTTAATTTTTGAACTGAACTTGAACTTGATAAAAGTTAAGTTTAGTTCAGTTTATAGGAACCCTAATACTGATTCTCTATAATAAAATTAAAGTTTTTTTTTCTTTTTAGTTTTTTGTTTAAATAATCCAAGTAAATAAGAAGATAGAGTAATTTCTATTTAATATAATTTATAATTTTTATAAGTCCAATATAGGCTTTTAATTGTAGTTGCCTAATACTTTTGAATTGCATGTTTTATGTCTAATATAAGCTAAAAATCATAACCATTTGTTTTTTTTATAAACTGCAAGTTTTATACTTTTCTTTTTTCTCATTTGTCTTTTTTTTCTCTTTTATTTCTTGTTTTGTATCTTTTATTATTTATCTCTATACCTTTGTTTTTTTTTTATATATAAAATTTTTTTTTGTTATTTGCTTCCTTATGAGAAGATGTCATCAGATTGATGGTATTCTATTGTAGAGCAGCAGTTAGATAAGCAGTCTATCTTTGTTTAAAATAGTATAACAGGTCACACTTAGGTATTAATAAAGTGCCCAAGTGATGCTAAACTTAAATATTAGAAAAATTTTCTGTAATCTGTATAGTATTAAAAATTCTAATAAAGTACTAATATAACTGCTTAAATTAAAAAAAAAAAAACCAACAATTTTCTTATCTCTTTATTTAACTCTTTATTTAATTAGTTTTTTAATTTTACTATTTGGCAAACCTAAAACATTAATCAATACAAATAAAAATTAGTACAAAAAATTATTATCTCTACTAAAAAAAAATAATAATTGATTACTTATTTTACAATCTTTTAACTTTAATAATACTAGTTTTATATTTAATACTAATATAAACCTTTTTATTTTTTTATTTTATTTTTTTTATCTTTACTTTTTTTCACTATTTTGAAGGTCTTTAAACACTTTTAGGACCTTTCATATCTCTTAAAAACCAGAGTTATCATTCTGCAAAGATCATTGAATGATATGTAAACCCTATATATTACCAAACTGTAAGATAATTCATGCTTTATTAAGGTTGTCATATAATATCTCAAGTTTCTAGTTCTGCAGTATAGAACCTACTATTTTCTTTAGTTTGCAGTTCTCTAACTTAACATGACCTACCAATTAGATTATTTATAAATTTTAATATTTTTAATTCTATGTGTTCTTAAATTAAACTCTCTTAATGTTAACATCATTTATTAATAGTTTATGTTTTATCTGATTGTTTTTAACCTTGTAACTATGCTGGTTACTGTATTCTTTTTTTTATGAATCTTGTTTTTGCTTTTTTTAAATAAAAATCTTCTGTAGATTTTTTTTGATCATAGTTTTGGCAGAATTTTTATCATCTTCTGAACTTGAACTTATGACTTTACAATTGAGACCCAAAAATGCTAACTACTATGTTATTAACTCATAGATCTAATCTTTTTATTTTTAAAATCTTTTTCAAAAATTTTTTTTCTTAAGCAATTATTTATAATTATATACATAAATACAGAATATTATTTAATATATAAGTCTGTTATTATCTAATTATTCAAATAATATTTAAATGTAATTTGTTATACTAATCTAATTAGAACTAAAATTATAACTTATCTAATCTTTATTCTACAATAAAATATTATTAATCTGAAGATATTTTTTTATAGAAAAAAGAAAAATAAAAAAAAATTTAAAATTAAAAAAAGAAGAATAAAAATATAAAATAAAATAAAACTAACAAAAATAAAACAAAACTAATTTATAAAAAAAATAAAAAAAAAAACTTGTCAATAATATAAAACTATATTCTATAATTATTGCTTACTATAATGTTTTTATATTTTTATAAGCTATAACTATTCTCTAAAAACTAGATACTTTTAATTAAAATAAAACCTGTATTTATTTGTAAGATGAAGTTTGAGCTAGATATTTTTTATATAAGAAAAATCTTCAAGTAATTAGAATACTGTATCAAGACTTAGAATATATTTAAGTAACCTAATTTTTTATAAATTTCTATAAATATTTTTAAAAAATATTATATATATAATCTCAAAATATATATATATTTCAATATATTTTTGGTCTTTCTAAGTTAAATTCCTTTTTTTGATCTATTGACTAACTTATATGTTTGTGTTTCTTATTTGTGTTATATTCAAACAAAAATATATCTGTAAAAAAAAATAATACAATATTAATCTTTTAATAAAAATAAACTAAATTTTTATTTTTTGAAAAAAAAATAAAAAAAAAAATAAAAAAGATATATATTATTATTGTAAAGATTCAAGTTAAAAAAAGTTTTTCTAATTGATCTTTTTTTTCTATTTCTAATATTCTTAATCAGAGAACTAATTTTGTCTTTACTTGTTTCTAAAATATCTTTTTAATTTGAATGTCAAATATACAAAAAAATCTGTTAAACAAAAAACTTAATCCAAAACAAAAACTACTTAAGCTTTGTCTAATTCTTGATGTTTTATATACTTGAATTTTGTTGACAAGTTTATTTAATATAAAATTAAGAATATTATCTATTTTGGAATCAGAATCTTTAATTTACTTTTAATACTAACTTGATCCAAATAATCATTAAAAAAAATATTTTTTGTTTTTCAAAATTTTACTATATATCTCTGTTTTTATTAATTATATATAACAATTCTAAAGGTTTCTTTTATTCTTCTCTGTAATTAATGATTACAATAATCAACTTAACTAATAATAATAAAAAATTAAAAAATAATATTATACTAGATGTTAAACATAACAACAATAATGTAGTTTAAAAATAATTTTTATTTATATATTTATATTTAATTGATATACTTATGTATTACTATTTTTCCTACTTGATATTATATAATAAAAAATTTTTGGTAGTTAAGTTGAAAAAGATCTTCAACTCAAAGTTTATAGTAAATTCATATGCTTTTACTATAATTTTTATTATAAACAACTTTAAAGAAAATGGTTATCAATCGTGTAACGATCTTCACCCTCTCTAGGTAATGCTAGTCACATGATAAGTGCTACATAAATGGTTTGTTGATATTCCCAATCGTATTTCTTTAACGAAATTTCCGTGTACCAACGTTTGTACTCAGTTTATCCGGCATGTCTTCTACACTCTTCTCAAAGCGTCTTTCTAAAGAATTAATCGATCTTAAAATCAACCCACCAGCGGGAATCGAAGTTACAGAATCTGACTCGTTCAAATGTTGGAAATTATCCCTTGACGGTGTTGAGGGAACTTTATACGCGGGTGAACGGTTCACCTTGGAATTTCGATTCACACCGAACTATCCAATGGAATCTCCAGAGGTTGTTTTTGTTGGTAACATACCAATACACCCACATATATACAGTAATGGCCATATATGCCTGAACGTCTTGTATAATCACTGGAGCCCCGTGCTCAGTGTTAGGTCGGTTTGTCTTTCGATACAGTCGATGCTGTCGAGCTGTACAACCAAGGAACCGCCACCGGATAATAACCACTATGTGAAAACTGCAAAAGCCTCTCCAAAACAGACCCAATGGTCTTTCCATGATGATTCTGTTTAAGAGATTTATTTATTCCAGATCATTATCACTCTGATTAGATTGCAATTTGGTTAGAAAACGATTTCAAAATTTTTCTTTTTGAATTTATTAATAGAAGCAATCAAGGTCAACACCATTTTTATAAAGAACAATAATCAAAGCTCGATAATCATTGTAACTAAAAAATAACATTTAACGTAATTGTAACGTAGTCAGGCATGTGGAATAAGATCTTTACATCAGGGAACAGTAGACTTCTATTAATAAATAAATAATTTTCTAAATTTTTTTCATATTGAACATTGTTTGATCCTTAATGAAATGGAACTTTGATCATTCAAACAACAAATGCTACAAGAAAACCGACTTCTATAAATAATTTTTATATATGAATATGTGAAAATCAAAATGATAACAATAAAAGTAAATTACATGAACAAGAAACATACACCGCCAAATGTCACTGACATTTGACTAAGCACTAATTCCGGTCTAGGATAAAATTGTAAAACCGGGTCTACGTTAAGGATCCACCTTCTTGAATGCCTTTTTTAATTCGTAGCAGAATAGTAGTTTTCCAATTATCTAGTTTAGTAAGTTGATCAAATTCTACTACCCTGTTTGTGAAACTTTCAATATCATCATTTTCTACAGCTTCAAGGATTGCCTTTGAGATTCAAACAAGAATAAGTAGGTTTTACAAATTTGTTTAAATAAACGAACAAAAATTTTAATCTTACCTTGAGAAATTGACATTCTCTGGTACTAGAAAAAGTAACGTCCATATCACAATATCTTTCAATTGCTCGTTTGGCACCGATATGATCCTGACAATTAAATATTATCATTATATAAAGGAATTTTCTTTATAGCATGATGGTAACTGCAAATCAATTAGTGTTTTCATCAAAGAAATTTACCCCGAAAGCAATGTGACAAAGTCCCGCCTTCAAAAAATAATCCTTGAGCGACCATTTTGTCAGTTGATTATCAAGACTAGCAGCGGCAACTTGTTCAAACTTTTCAATAGCTTTATCATATTGTTCCAGTGTTGCGGCAAAAGTTGCAACCTTAAGAAGACAATTATTGGCTAGGCTTTTGTGTGGTATATTTAATGCAAAAACCAGTCAGAATTATTCCTTCGTTATAGCGAATACAATCGAAAAAGTGAATGTCTTATAAACATACGCAGTTGCTTCTTCACCGGCATACCAATCTGCTGCAATTTCATAAGCTTGCATTGCCTTTTCTAAATCAATGAGATCTGATTCATAAATTTGGGCAATATCCTTTTGGTGCCCAGCTGCAGCTTGAAATCGACCTCTATCTGTGAGAATCTCGATGGCCTGCTTTAAAGACGTAATAGCATCTGTTGGATCAAATATGATAATTAAAGTTTGGTATTTCAAATAAATAGTAGCTGATATCATGAGAATATCTTATCGATTAACCTTCGAAACTGCCTTTCTTGTAACATTTTGCAGCATTGATAAAAGTTGTAGCAGCATCATCACGTTCGTTAAGCTGTAATTGCATGTTGGCAGCTTTAGTGAATGCATCACCGGCTTCTTTCCCTTGAAACAATATATAACGTTTGTTAAAGACACTGATTTACAATTATTGATCCAAATTAGACAATAAAGATTTTTATAAATGTAAATTCTGGGCAAGCTTTCAGTACTTTCTGTAAATCGTCCGCGATTAACAATAAAATTAAGAAATCACAGTAGCCCTTACATCGCTTTCCGAGCTTGAAGATATTGGCCGCTTTATTGTATAATTCTGCAGCTTCTTCAAATTTATTACTACCAAACCAGCCAAATGTAGTCGCTTTTTTATCAGCTTTTGCAATAAGCGCCTGAGCTTCGCGTTCTGACGACATTACGAAATTTACTTTAAAACATGAAATGCTCCCGATCTGAATACAGGAAATACGGAAATATAACCCTACAATCACATGTTTTCATTTTTATTGGCTAGTAAATAAGAACTCTGATTGGCTAAAATTAAAGTCATTATTATCATTATCGTTATTTGTTACACTCGAGACTTCCGCTTCAAACACTTTAAAGAATATTTGATTAGTTTTTTGGGTTAATAATTTAATATAATAACTTTGTACAATGTACAAATTCGTGTAACAGCAGCTTTTCTCAATGTAAAATACGAGTCGGCGAGGTTTCGGAAAATGTAATTTACTGGCTTCATAATCCTGATCCGCTGTGGCCAATCAGATATTGCAAAAAAAACAAAAAATTGATTTGTGGATCTGGATTTTTTTTTTTATCATTATCGACTTTCATTCATAGAAAGGTATAGATAACGTAAACCGTCCATTTTGCTTATATTATATTAAAGAAATTTATTTTGACACACAGCATATAATGTCTCTCCCATCTGATATTGCCTTCGAGTATAATCAAGGCATTCGTTTGTTCAACAAATGGAGTTATGACGACGTGGAGGTTAAGGATATATCGTTAACAGATTATATTCAAATCAGAAATCCCGTTTATTTACCTCACACTGCTGGTCGTTTCTCCACCAAAAGATTTAGAAAAGCCCAAGTACGATTTATGATTTTTATATAACCCAACTAGTGCATTAAAATTAGCATTAATTATCGTTTCACTTGGACACCTGAATATTATAGATACAAGCAATTATTGTTTAATAGATATACTAACTTAAGTTCATTTTTACTGATAAATTCAATAGTGCCCCGTTGTCGAGCGTTTGACCAATTCGCTCATGATGCATGGTCGTAATAATGGAAAAAAATTAATGGCAGTTAGGATAGTAAAGCATGCATTCGAGATCATTCATCTTCTAACGGATCAAAATCCTATTCAAGTTTTGGTTGATGCTATTATAAACACTGGTCCACGTGAGGATTCAACCCGTATTGGTAGTGCAGGTACTGTTCGAAGACAAGCGGTTGATGTATCTCCCCTGCGTAGAGTAAATCAAGCAATTGCTCTTTTGACAATTGGGGTAAGTTTAGGTGAATAATAATAACAATCATAATAAATTGCTAATGATATATTAAAAAAAAAAAATTTCCAGACACGTGAGTCAGCCTTCAGAAACGTTAAAAGTATTGCAGAATGTTTAGCCGATGAACTTATTAATGCTGCCAGTTTGTATTTTTTTTTTCATTACTTAAAAACATTTTTCATTATATTAAATGGTTTATATCAAACATTTACTTTAGAGGGAAGTTCAAATTCTTATGCAATTAAGAAGAAGGATGAATTAGGTAATTAAAGAAGTGACAAAAGCAGGATGATTTTCTTGTTTACTATGTTTACTAATACGGATTGTTTTTTTTTCAGAACGTGTTGCCAAATCTAATCGTTAGAGAAAGATATAATATTGGTCTCCATGGACTCAAATGAAAAAACGGGTTAAATATAAAATAATAACTTGTGCAAAAAAAAATATATTTAATTAAAAAATCGAAAGTATCGAGTGAAAAAGTTAAAATTGATCGTATATATTTTTTTTGGCGGGTTGTTTATTTATGCGAACAGAACTGTAGTTCTTAAATAACATTTTATTATGCAGGAAGAACTTTATACCATTCGGAAATCTTCGTGTTTATTATAAAGTGTAATTTGTAAAACTAGTCGGTAATGTGACTTTGTATTACATACATATCAATCTTCTATTATCGTATTTTACCCTCGGGTAGGGACAGCATGATGGAGTATTCCAAAGATTTGCGTCTCTGACTTATTATGGTATTTCTCACGTGAAATTCGAAACATTTACAACACCTAAAAACTATGGGTACAACATTTGCCTTAGCTTATGAACACAACATCGGCCAGAGTTAAAGTTAGAGTTAATGTTAGGGTAAGTGTAATTTAGTAATGCCAATCATTGTTGTGCCCATAAACACTTGATGTGCCCGTAGCAATTGCCTTACAACTAGGATTGCACGAGGCATGCTTTTTGGGCATGCCCCCTAGGCATGCCTGGAGGTGGGTTGTTAATGGAGTGGCATACTTCGGAGCCACTCCGGAGTGAGCCCAACCCAAGTTGGAGTGGGTTAAAGATATGGCTAGAAATCTGGAGTGAAACTGGAGTGAACTGGAGCAGCTCTAAGCAAGCCTGGAGTGACTCCGGAATGAGCCCAACCAAGCTGGAGTGGTTAGAAATTGTTTAACCCAACCCAACATACCCAGTAAAAAAGTGCAGGCACGTGAATGATCGACAAAAATTGGTCAATAAAATCACAGTACAAATTGATAAATTTAGTAATTATGAGTAAAGTAAATGATTGAGTTCTTTTCTTGAGCAAACATATATCTAATACTATTGCTATGTTGCCGTATAAAGTGTTGTGGTAGAAAGAGAAAGTTGTATTGTTGTGTGAGGTGTTGTATGTAAAGTTGTGTGAGGTGTTATTGTGAAGTTACTGTATAAAACGTTGCGTATAGAAGAAGGAAGTTAATAATAGAAAGGTTGGATATAAGAGAAACAGTAATAAAAATGTAAATAAAAAATTAAATTTTAAGTAATTTTTAATAAACTAATATTATATTAACTAATTTATATATATTATATATATATATATATATATATTCTTTTTTTTTTTATTCTTTGATGATTTTGCTAAGATCTTTTATGTATCTATCTATATTTTGAACAATGTTTTTAATATTCTTCTACCACTGGACCTTAACCTTTTCAGTTTAATTATTTTTCAGTCTTTTCAGAAGTAATCTATCACATTGATCCCTGCCAAGATCAGAAAGTTTCACTAGGTTCTGTTCAGAACTGATTATCACTATAAGTTTATATAATATCTCTTATTGTTAGACTTTTAATCTTACATTATGTCTTATAACTTCAGTTATTTCAAATCAGGTTCTAACTTGTGTTCATTACTAGGTGATTTCTTAATTACAAGTTACTTATCTTTTCTAGAAATAAATCCATCTAATGATGTCTTGGGTCTTTGATATTACAGTATTGCAGTTTCCTATTTTTAGAAATGCATTTTTACAATTACT